AAGCGCACCACTTCCAGGTGACCGTTTGCAGCAGCACCAAGCAAGGGAAACTTACCAACATCTGTTGTTGACTGGTCACAAGAGGCTCCATGTTCCAGCAACAAGCGCACCACTTCCAGGTGCCCATTCTCAGCAGCACTCAGCAAAGGAAATTCCCCAACATCTGTTGTCGCTTTGTCGCAAGAGGCTCCAGCTTTCAGCAGGAAGCGCACTTCTTCAACATGACCATTCTCCGCTGCAAGATGCAAAGGAGTTGCACCATTGTCGGTCATAGCATCATCACAAAACGCCCCAGCCTGTAACAGCAATAGCAGCACATTCAAATGACCGTTCTGAGCAGCACAATGCAAAGGAGTTGCACCAGAGTCTGCCATGGCAAGGTTGAAAGAGGCTCCAGCCTGGAGCAACATGCACACCATTTCAAGGTGACCGTTCGCAGCAGCACTAAGCAAAGGAAACTCGCCACCCTCTGTCGTTGCCTGGTCACAAGAGGCTCCAGCTTCCAGCAACAACCGCACCACTTCCGCGTGACCTTGTGCAACAGCACTAAGCAAAGGAAATTGACCAACATCGCTCGTAGCCTGATTGCAAGAGGCTCCAGCTTTGAGCAACGCGCGGACCACTTCTAGGTGACCGTTCTCAGCAGCACGTAGCAAGGCAAATTCACCACAATCTGTTGTCACCTGATCACAAGAGGCTTCAGCTTCCAGCAACAAGCGCACCACTTCAAAGTGACCGTTTGTAGCGGCACTTAGCAAAGGAAAATGACCAGCATCTATCGTCACCTTGTCACAAGAGGCTCCAGCTTCGAGTAAGACACACACCACTTCCTGGTGACCGTTCGCAGCAGCACTGAATAAGGGAAATTCGCCGACACTATCTGTTGTTGACTGGTCACAAGAGGCTCCATGTTCCAGCAACAAGCGCACCACTTCCAGGTGCCCATTCTCAGCAGCACTCAGCAAAGGAAATTCTCCAACATCTGTTGTGGCCTTTTCGCAAGAGGCTCCAGCTTTGAGCAGCAAGCGCACTACTTCAACATGACCATTCTCAGCTGCAAGATGC